AGGTGATAAGACTATGGGTGATTTTGACTTTTTCTTCTCAGCTTTTGTCAAATTTTGTAAGAAATTTGCCAAATTTCTTATATAAACATGTATTACTTTTATAATTTAAAAATATCATTAAAATGAATGCATAGTATTTTAAAAGGCAAATACCAGAATTTTTCTGGCACTCAGAGGCTATGGTGATATTTGGTTTATGACCAGGTAGCGAGTGTGAGGGCGTGACCGATGGCTGTAGCTGCACACGTTTGTTTCAGACTCAGCCCTGTTCCAGGCTTTCTTGTGTCTTGGGATCCATTTCCAAGACATTCATTTTTCTCTTTCTTTTCTTTAAAAAATTTTTTATGTGACTCTTATTTGGACTTAATTTCAAGTTTACTGAAAAGTCAAGAGTTGTGTAAGGAATGTCCATGAACACTTCAACCAAACCCTTGTTTTCATTTGCCCCATTGGCTTTATTATTCTATCTGTGTTTTCATCATATGTACATATTTTTCTGAGTCATTTGTGAATATGCTGAGGACATTTTGGTCTTTTACTCCTAAATACTTCAGGAGTTACTTCCTAAGAACAAGGGCATTCTCCTGTACAACCACAACGCAGTTAGCAAAATCAGGACTTTTAATACTGATGCAGTGCTGTTTTCTAATTCTCAATTCCTATTGAAATATCTTGTTGAAACGTCCTGTTGAATTACCTTTTCCTGCTCCAGGATCAAATCCAGGTTCTTGCTCTGCTTCTGCTTGCCATATCTCTTTAGTCTCCTTCAGTCTGGGGCAGCTGCTCGGTCTTTCTTTTGTCACTTGACCTTGATATGTGGCCATTTGCTTTGTAGAAAGTCCTTCATTTTGGGTTTGTTTGATGTTTCTTCATTATATGGTTTAAGATTGAGATTTTTTTCAGGAAAAAGGATTCTGTGTCCTCCCTCCTCAGTGCACCTTGTTACAATGAACATGACATCCATTCACCCCTGTGTTGGTGGTGCTGGGTTTGAAGACCCGGTTATGCTGGGGTCCTCCAGGTTTTTCCACAGTAAAGTTACGATTCTTCTATTTGTATTTAATGTGCAATTTTGAGGAAGAGCCTTTTAGATCAAAATTCACTCACTAACTTCAACATCCATTGATGATTTTCTCATTCAATTCTTCCTTCTATACTTATTAGTTGGCATAATAAGAAGAGTTTTCTCTTCCCCCCATTTATTTATTCATTTATTTCAGTATAGAATCTCATTTTATTAAATGTGCTATGATTATTACTCTCATTACTTAATTTGATGCTCAAATTGCCTCTAATATAGTTAGTGAGAGCCCCATCAAGTTGGCTCTTTTGTCATTTTGACAAGTCCTCATGGGTCCCTTGAGCACTTTCTTGTATTTTGAGGCAAAAAAAAAAAAATGTTTTAGGCTCATTTTTCAGTTTTTCTGTCCTAGTTCAGAACCAGACATTTTTCCAAGGACCTCAAGTTCTTTTGGTGGAGAAAATTATTTAGATACCAAGACCAGGGCACTATGTGTTCATTCTATTGTATGTCATTGCTTTTAAGCCATCTCAGTAGACAGAGCCAGGAAATATGTATGTGAAACACACAGATATACACATAAATGATCTATCATCTATCTGTCTATCCATGTCCATCCATCCATCCAAGCTATCCAACCTATTATCTATCTATCTGATCTTAAAAACACATGGGTTTTTATAATAAGATACCACCTCACACTGGTCAGGCTGTCATTACAAAATAAAAAAAAACTACTTGTTTTGGTGAGGCTGCAGAGAAAAGGAAATGCTTCTACACTGGGTGGGAATGTAAGCTAGCTTCACCTCTGTGAAAGGCAACGTGGTGTTTTCTAACACTAAACTAGAACTAAAAGTTGAGCTACCATACGATATAGCAATCTCACTCCTGGGAATATACCCAGTGGAATATACATCACTCTACCAAAAAGACACCTGTACACATACATTCATTACAGCTCTATTCACAATTGCAAAAACAAGGAACCAACCCAAATGCCCATGAAAAGTGGACCGCATAGGGCCGGGCATAGTGGCTTGCACCTATAACCCTAGCACTTTGGAGGCCGAGGTGAGAGGGTTGCCTGAGCCCAGGTGTTTGAGACCAGCCTGGGCAACTTAGCAAGACCTCATCTCTACAATAAATCAAAAATTTAGCTGGGTGCGGTGGGTGTGTGCCTATAATTCCTGCTACTTGGAAGGCTGAGGTGAAAGGATTACCTGAGCCCAGAAGTTTGAGGCTATGGTGGCTGTGAGCATGCCACTGTACTCCAGTCTGGGTGACAGAGTGAGACTCCAACTCAAAAAAAAAAAAAAAGAAAAAAAGTGGACTACATAAAGAAAATATGGTACATATACATGATAGAATACTATGCAACCATAAGGAAGAACAAAATCATGTCCTTTGTAGCAAACGGATGCAGCTAGAGACTGTCATTCTAAGTGAACTGTCACAGGAACAAAAAACTGAATACTGCATGTTCTCACTCATAAGCATTGGGCATATGAGCACAAAGGCGGGAACAACCGACACTGGGCACTACTAGTGAGGGGAGGGAGGAAGAGGGAATAAAGGGTACACAACCTCCCATTAGGTGCCATGTTCACTAC